AAAAAAAAAAAAAAAAAGAGGTGATGAGTAGCCCTGCAAAGTTTAGGGAATGCCAGCATGCTTAGAGTGTGATAGGCAGATCACTGAAGGCAGTAAGATGGAAGGTGTGAGAGTGGGCGCAGAGACCCCTCCCCCCACCTGTCACCTTTGAGTAGGGAGGGACAGGAGGGCCCCTGATGGTATATGGCCCTAGCGCCTGTCCTCCCAGTGCAGGGTGCCTGTTCTGCAGTCAGGCTTTTTTCTTTTTGGAGACAGAGTCTCACTGTGTCACCCTCAGTAAAGTGCTGTGGCGTCGCAGCTCATAGCAACCTCAAACAATTGGGCTTAAGTGATTCCCTTGCCTCAATCTCCCAAGTAGCTGGGACTCTCCGTGCACCTACCACAGTGCCCGGCTATTTTGTTGTTGTAGTTGTCATTGTTGTTTGGCAGGCCCAGTCCGGATTCAAATTCGCCACTCTGGTGTATGTGGCTGGTACCCTAGCTGCCAAACAGGCAGTCCCACATACCGGAGGTATAGTTGTCCCATATACCGGAGATGAGCTATGGGCAGTGAGACAGAGCCTCAAGCTGTCGGCCCTTGGTAGAGTGCTGTGGCATCACAGTTCATAGCAACCTCCAACTCCTGGGCTGAAGCGATTCTCCTGCTTCCACCTCCCAAGTAGCTGGGATTACAGGCGCCCGCCACAATGCCCGGCTTTTTTTTTTGTTGCAGCCGTGATTGTTGTTTGGCGGGCCGGGCTGGATTCGAACCTGTCAGCTCAGGTGGATGTGGCTGGCACCTTAGCCATTTGAGCCACAGGCGCCGAGCCAGGCCTTTTGTTTTTGAATTAGACTAATTTGTAACTCTTGGAAAACACAGTGCTCCAACTAGACCTAGGATGTAAGTAGAGATTATGTTTATAGCCCAAAATAATTGTATGGGAAGTTTAAAGTGAAGATATTCATTAGAGCAAAAGCACATCCACGTGCCCACGGAGCAGTGGGGAGCGCAGGGGAGTCTGTCAGGTTTGCAGTGTGGGCAGTGCCACAGCTGTGTTCTTCATTTGTTTGTCCCCTACTTTCTCCAACTGTTATTTTCTACTTAATGAATATTTAAGCGAAACCATTTTCAGAGTTGGCATTGTAAGGAGTGTCTTAGTTCTAGTTCCCGGTACTGCGATTAGGAGGGAGATGAGAGAA